TTTGTTCCCAATCCACCTGGCTTTTCTCTTTTTTATTTTTCTTTCTGGTTTTCCAGAACAGCAAGCCCTCTGTGCCAGACCTTAGCCTCCTCCATTGAAGCCTTTCGAGCAGCATATGGGGGCCCTAGTGAGGACTGCTCTCCTTCTAGGCAGCTTCCTGCTGCTGTGTTCTTCATCTTACTTCCAAACCAAAGAAAACATTTATTTATTCAACAACTTCAGAGAGACATACTAATGAATGTCTCTATTATACTAGATAAAGTGCTAGGAAGTGGAGCTACAGGAGTGAAAAAGGCTCCTGATCTCAAATAGAATAATAATTAAAAAGAAAATATTGTAAAGTGTCTTTCAGTTTAATTAACCAAGTAATTTATATGCATTTAATAGCACAGGATCAAACTTGAAGATAATGAATAAACAGGAATATTTTTGTCCCTGAAATCTACATGAATTCACCCTAGACTTCAGCCCTATTCCAGTATAGCAATTTAAAATGCTGCCTACTGTTAATTAATTTTTTGATTATTTAAGTCTCCTAACAATTCCATGGATTAGATAAGAGAGGTGGTATGGTTGACATTACTCAGATTCCTCTACCTTAAGCTTTTAGGTTGGAATTCTTACCAATTCATGACTAAAATTTCACTTTGAGAAGAGAAATATTCTAAGGAATGATGCCCTGTACTACTCTTTCTTTAACTTCTCCTTTGATTTTTGAATGGAAACTAAAACCCTGGTAGAGTTAATGACTGTTTTACCTACTACAATTATTCAAATGATATCATTTCTATTATATCCTACACAAAGAACTAGTAAGTGTAAAACATGAAAAAAATCACCATCCATCCACTTTAGTTATTAAAGGCTCTACTATGCATTTTTGTTTTCATGTTTCCTCAATTTTTTAAATATTATGATGAAGTCAATTAAAAGTAAGATAATGCTGGACATTTTTTTTAGAAGAAACTTCGTTCTCAGAGCTTATTTGAGCATTGATTGATCTTATCTGGTACCTAAGTGGCTGCATTAGAAAATTCCTTGATTTAGTGAAGAGAGTTTTGATTAATAAAATGCATTTAATATTTAATATTCAAGAATATCTTTTCAGTGTCTAAATTTCAGATTTCAGAATTCAGCATGAGACTATGTTACTTGAAGCTATGACATTTTGGGAATAGAGATTTCACATATTAATGAGTAGACCCATGCTGGGACATTAACTCTACAGATACAACATGTACATCTTCTGTGGCTGACGTTCATAAAGGAAATTGATAGAGAGAGGGAATTAAGAAATACTGAATTCTTACAGTGAACCAAATATCCTATTTAGTTAAAACCTAACCCAAACTGCAAGGTTGGCATTACTATACGTATTTGTATCAATGGAAATTGAAGTTTGGAGAGATTAAATAACTTGCTCAAGGTCACTTAGATGGAATGAAGCAGCTGGCATTGCTTCCCAAAATGGCTAATTTCAAAGTTCATAGTGTATCCATAAGAAAACCTGAACTCCAAGATTCTAGCCTCATCGATAAGGTATTTACTTTCTCTGAGTAGAGCATCCTCATTTTTCAAGTGTAAACAATCTATTATCTGCATATATTAAAAATGTTGGTGAGAAAAAATTAGATAATTTATATACAACTAATATTTCAAAGCGTAGAGGTATTTTTGCCTTGCTTGTATATATATTACTGATCACAGGTTCTTCTACACAAACCCAATAACCCCATAAAATAGTATCTGAAATTAACCACAGTAGAATTCATGAAGCTGATGGCTGGAGAGATGCTATATTTCACAGAATTTTTTTTTCAGTTACTATGAAGTTGAGGACCTGGGAATACCAGGAATTTTTGGTTTCCTTTTCTTGTCCTGCCTTCTGAAGCAAATGCCTTCCCAAAGGATATATGGAGGCCAATGGGTTGATAATGAGTAGCTTAGAGTATAGCACTTAGAGTATAGATAGCCATACTAGTAGGGATACATAAATTTATTTTTAATGATGTTTTTAATTGGGTGACATTATTTTATGTTAGGCATTTGTAAAGAGTAGCATCCTAGCGTATGGCTAAAACTGTTTTTAAGTATAAAGTAGGACCACAATTCATATATACTCTTTCTTCTTTCTAACAAAAAATATGCCATTCTTATTCTTTTGTTTAAAGGCTAGAAATTATCCTATGAATGAGATCCAGTATTTTTTGACCATGAGGTTTGCCTGCATCATTTTTCCTGACCATGACAAGAGTTAACAATCTGTTTCTCTGTATCTTATAACATTGTCATCACTTTAAATTATCTGAAATATCCTTTAGCATCTATACAATCAAGCAAAACTGACATTGTGCCCTTGAACAGTCCTTTTCAAAAGCAATAAACAATAAATATTTATTTAGTCAACAAGTTTAAATATACATATTAATAAATGTCTATGTTATGTTCCTTTTTCTGTCCCTCTTCCTTTTTGGTTTCCATGGTTTCTATAACTTAAGATGTGAGAATTCATAATACATTTTTTTTTTCCGAAGTGAGGATAAAGCAGATCTTTTTGTTCCAAATAAATGTTGACTAATGGTTAGATTTATCAGGTAAAATATATGATGCCCAGTTAATTTTGAATTTCAGACAAACAACAAATGATTTTTAGTATAAGTATATCCTCTGCAAGTATTGCATACGTATACTAAAATATGATTTTATGTTTAACTGAACTTCAAAATTAATTGTGTCCAATATTTTTCATTGCTAAGTCTGGCAACCCTACCAACAGTCTGATGTTTGTAAAATTTTCCCGTTCATGGGAAATATATATTTATATATTTTTTGATTTTTTATGCTGTGAGAGTTTGTTTCTGGCTCAGATGGCTTTTATTTTTCCTCACTGATTTCCTTTTATCATTGTTGCTTATTAATTGTTGCCCTTTTGGCTCATTTTAGAACAAAAAGTGAGAGGATGAGATTAATTTTCTCATTATCTGGAAGTCTATAGTTAGTTAATTATTTATGATATTTTATGCAGTTTTCAATGTAGCCCCTTAGGTGGTATGATTATACATTTATTTCTTCAAGTATCTTTTTTTTAATCATCAATAGTTTTCTATATTGATACTTAGAATCAACACCTTTATCAGTCTTTCATCCTCATTGTAAAATTAAACTTTTGATAACATTCTACTTTCACTTTCATTGATATATTCTGTACTAAGTTATTATGCTATATGTGCCATTCTGTGTTTTAAAATAAATATTGCTACTGTTCTTTAATTATATTTCTGGCATCTTGTCTGGGAAGTTCTCAAAATTATAAAATAGTAGAAATTAACTTGTGAACTTTGCCTATGGATAGCTATCCCACTTGGAAATTATATCTTATTTTAAAATGCTAAAGGGGTCTGTCCTTGAGACTTAGAAATTTGTGCCTTAGAATGTTGTTTCAAACGCCAGCCCCTCCGTAGTCACAAAATCAGTGTTTTATCTAAAACTGTTACTTTACTTTCAAAGACCTATTTCTAAAAATTGTCCACTCACAGAAATAAAATATTTTAAAAAATACCAAAAGAGGAAACTCCTTAAAGAAATAATTGCTCTAAATTTGTGAAAACAGTTAAATAAATAAACAGTATATGCCTTACATATCCTCTCTAGGAAAAAACAAAACAAACAAAAAAACCACCAGCAACTAATAAAATCCAATAAGAGGTCAACAAATGTGGATAGCTTTTAGCTTATAAACTGAAATCTGCAATCTAAGGAATTTACTGGAGCAGAACCTTGTACACTTACCCTTAGAACCATAATATAGATGTTACAGACTGAAAAAAACCTCTTCCTCTGTGATTCGAGACCAAATCTGCATTGCTGTTTACTGTAGAGGAGTCCTCTGGTGATTCTAGCATATTTCCCTACATATACACTTACTTTTAAGGAATTTAAATGTTAGCTCTAATTTCCTAGTGGCAATTTTTTCATTGCTTATTGAATCAATGTATTTAATATTGTTCTTCATGATAAGTAGAAGAAGCTTCACTTTGTAGGTGTAAAATTTGTATTTTTTACTTGCATTGTATTGTTGAGCTACTGTTGGGGCCATTGATGGAGCAGCCATGACGTTCTTACACCGAGATGTTTGAAGATGATTAAACCAAAAGAAAATAAAGTTTATTCTGAAGGGAATGATCTCATTTATGTAAAATTACAAAAGAAAAAAAAAAGAAGGCTGTTTCTTCATCATCTTTAACGAGTGTTTTTGCATTTGATTTTTGGAAAGGAAAATCATTTTATTTGCTCAGTTAAATTAGAAAAAGCTCTGTCAACCTGGAAAATCAAATGGAGTCAATAAATGGAAGTTTAGATAGAGTATCATTCAACTACCTGAGCATGTGACCTCTTCAGATAACTATTATCCCAGGTGAAGTCCACTCTAATGAACTCAAGCCGTTCATGGTTTTAGGTTGAGCCTTAATTCCAGAAAGGTCAAAGTAAGGTGCCCTGTTCTCTGTAGTTCGATGATCACTCTAACTAAAGGCTAGTGCTGCTTGTGGGCAAATTGCTAAATGCCCTATGGACCTATGTCTTGAAACAATTAATACTATACTACATCAGAGCTCACTCTCCACATTTTCATTCAAGCTTTGCTGCTTGTAGAAAGAACTGAATATTGTGACCTATACCTCCCTCAAATTCATTTACCTGGAAATAAAGAAAAGGGAAGGAAATGGATCTTGCTCTATGATCAGAAGGTGAAAATTCTCACTCAGTCTGAACTTTTATAAATAAGATCATTTTAAAAAGGGTCAACACGGTGAAACTTGGATTTACCCTCCTTGGCCCTTCACTACCTTAAACTCCTTTTCCAATTTTTCTCTTTTATTTTCTGTACTTCTATTTTCAGTTGTCCCATTTTTAGAAGAATATTTGGTGCATAACAGTAGTAATGCAAACCAGTGTGTCTGTACACTTGCTTATACTGACTCCTGGATTCACGTTATCCTCAGGCACTGAAGGAGCAGTGTTCGGGCACTCTGTTGAAACACCTCACATCAGAGCAGAACCTTCCCAAGACCTCAGGTAAGTCCTGGCATTTATACCTGTGTCATTGTTTCCACCACTGATGATGGTCCTTGATATATAAAGAACTAAAGCAGAAAATATGCTACGTAACTGTATAAAGAATTGACATTCCCTGCCTACATGGTAAATAGATAATTAGATATTTCATTGAGGGTAAGAAAATGTGAGTTATTATTCTGTCCTTCTGTATATTTTTCCTTTACAAACATACAATGGATATAAAATAAACATATCGGACAGGAGGAGTGTAGAAAAAGAAAAGAAAAGGCAGTTATAGAGGATGTTAAGGGGAGGACTAATAAAAATAGAGATTTCAGAAAATCTGATATAGATAATGAAATATATGGCACACATAGGCATAAAGAAAGGGGAGGCAGAGAGTGAGAGAAAGCTGTAAATAGTCAGGGAGGCTTAAGTAGAGGGAAATCAGAAACAAATGTAAACAGTGGTCAGTAAAAGGCAGAACTTAATTGCCCTGTGATATGCTCCTCAATTTAATATTTCCAGTGGAATAAGCTCCATCTGTCAGTTTGAGAGGACAACATTATAAGGTATTCTCCCCTTATGATTATCCTCCCATAATCATGGCAATCACTGATAAAAGTTGAAATACTAAAATCTATTAACTTATCTATTGTTCTTAATTCAATAAATATATATTTAATATATACTTTATATATTTTATATAAAATTATGCCTATTATAATAACTTGTGGTAATCATTTTGTGATATATACATTTATCAAAATCATTATGTTGTATACCTTAAACCAATACAATGTTATATGCCAATAAAAAAGATGTTTCCTCTAATTAATTTCAAATAGGTATCTTTTTTTTAACATCTTTATTGGAGTATAATTGCTTTACAATGGTGTGTTAGTTTCTGTTATATAGCAAAGTGAATCAGCTATACATATACATACATCCCCATATTTCTTCCCTCTTGCATCTCCCTCCCTCCCAGCCTCCCTATCCCGCCCCTTTAGGTGGTCACAAAGCACCAGGGTGATCTCCCTGTGCTATGTGGCTGCTTCCCACTAGCTATCGGTTTTACATTTGGTAGTGTATATATGTCCATTTGCTATGATATGAAAAAAGACAACCCATATTGATATAAAAAAATAAATTACATATTTAAAATCATTTTTAAAGCTGAATTAAATTATTAACCTGACAGATAGAGTCTTTGTCTTGAAACACAATAAAATATTACGCAAAATACCCATTTTATTTCATAAAGAGCAGGCTCAGCCCTTCCTACTTGGATGAGTGGAAAAAATGCTCAAATAAAAATAGAAAAATAAAGTTGAAAAATGCTAATTAAAAACAAAGTCATACTTTGGACTTCCCTGGTGGTGCAGTGGTTAAGAATCTGCCTGCCAATGCAGGGGACACAGGTTCGAGCCCTGGTCCAGGAAGATCCCACATACCACGGAGCAACTAAGCCTGTGCGCCACAACTACTGAGCCTGTGCTCTAGAGCTCGCGAGCCACAACTACTGAGCCCACGTGCCACAACTACTGAAGCCTGCACGCCTAGAGCCTGTGCTCCTCAACAAGAGAAGCCACTGCAATGAGAAGCCCGCACACCCCAAGGAAGAGTAACCCCTGCTCGCCACAACTAGAGAAAGCCCGCGCGCGGCAACAAAGAACCAACGCAGCCAAAAATAAATAAATTTATTTTTAAAAAGTCATACTTTTACAACAGTAAATATTGCAGACCTTTATAGTTCATTGATAAAATTCCTTTAAAAAACTCAGTTTTTCACTAGTTGAGTAGCCCAGATTCAAACAAGCTAGTTAAGAATAACAGGAGAAGGCACCCCTCTTCATGCGATCAGGCATTTTTTAATAAGACAAATATAATAATTATTTACTTTATGCTGAAACCCCAAGGATTTAGGAGGGTTGAAGAATATGTGAAAACAGTGTCTCATAGTGTGTTATAGTCTTGATTTATGACTATTCTCATTTAGGACCTCTACATTTTTGTATAAATTATCTTTTCCTTCTTTACTTAACAAGGTTGTGTTGCCACTAGAACGGGATCTACGTCTTCCTTGCTTACCTTTAGTTCAATAACAGCCAGCCACTCTATCTCACACATAATAGTTTTATTATAATTGGTTGACGTGAATTACTGAAACTTAGTAAAACTGAATGAGGATGCTAAATGCCTGTATATAAGGAATGTGTTGTCATTTGTTTTTGTATTACTAAGACATGTGACTAACATTGATTCCAACTGTTTTTGAGCTGCGTTTTAACATAGATACCAGAGTTTCATTCAATAAAAAAATTGTAATTACTAAGTTCTAAAAGAAACATTTTTTTTACTTCTAACGTTTTAGTAATTATGTACTCGTTGCACAGATTTTCATTATGAAAAGCCTATTGCCAAAAAAGGATAAGAACCAACTGCTATTTTAATTACTTTACTGACATGTCTCAACATTCATAAGTATGAATGTGAATTAAATTATAATTAGTATATCATGTCTCCAGTTTTTATTTTCTAATTATTCATAAATTATTTAAACATTGACCTAAGCGAGGCTTAGCTGCTAGTACTAAAAGCAGATTGGCAGCCCCCAAGATGAGTGGTACTGATCTAAATTCCAAAATAGAAACAGAAGCAAAGCACAGTAATGACGAGGTTATTCAATTATTCATTTGTGTACTGAAGATTAAAAGCAGTGTCTGAGGAGAGCCTTACGAGTCTTGCTGACAATTTTCCTTTCAGGGCAATAAGAAGTACCCTTAGTTGACACCTAAGTCTAATCAACAAGGTGACAGCAATTGACCAAGTAAATAAAATGTAATTTAGGGAGTAAGAAGCCATGTTGTCTTTGATTTTGCTTTTGTCAAGAATAAAAGACTTTAGAAAGAAACATTTCAAAAAGTTTACTGTAGAGTTTAGGTAATATTTTGGTGTGGAAATGTAGTAGATTGCTATTATTTATTTACTCAATGGCTGTTTGATGAATGCTTACTATGTGCCAGGGTCTGTGCTAGTAGTCTTCTTGTGCATTTTAACAATACAGGTGTAGATTTTCTTTAATTTTTTTTAATATAAGGTTATATTGTTTTTCGGCAGGGACTTATTTGTTAAAAGGCTAAACAACAAATCGTAAGGACATCATAGCACTTTGCCTGAAATAGTCCAAGTATAAATGTTCTTTTTATTTTTTCTTAAATTAATATGTAGCTAAATTATTATAGCTCAATAGGATTTCTGCCCTCTTTGGTGGGAAGTGATAAAATCTATAATGTAATGCCCATTGTCCAAGGATTGTTTGGATCTGAGTTTTATTAACTGCTCCAAGAATAAGGCAAGAATTTAGACTTTGGTTTAGTAAAATGAGTTGCTATTTAATGACATAATTGGTATCATTTCCATTCTTGTATGCATATAATTTAAAACTGAAATGTGAGGTTTGCAGGCTCCAAATTAATCTCTGGAAACACATAGCTTTGATTTACATAGTTCCCATGTTCAAGGAAAAGCCACCATTTATTAAATGGTAAGGTTTTTCCCTGAGACAATTTGTCAATAAAGGGGTAATATACTTTACTGGTATTTTTCCACCTATGAGAAAAAAATGGTAATAAAGTAGTATTTTTCTCCTCCCCACTTCCCTTCCCCAAACCTCTCCTTCTCTCCCCTTTTCCCTCTTCTTTCCCTTTCTTTCCTCCTTCCTTCCTTTTATTCTTTCATTCTATGTATATGTTTGTATATTAGAGTTTGTAGCAAATGTGGGTAATGAGAAGCTTGCCTACCCTTCCAGTCATGGGAACAGGGAGCAAAAATTGACCTAGGGATTTTTTGATCTAATTTTCAGGAAGAGACCATAAGGGGTGTGCAAGTGGGCAGGAAACAATACAAATGGTGGAAACAAAAACAATGTGATTTGCAGCTGAAAAAAGCTCAGGGTAGCCCTAAGTGATAAGACAGTAAAAGTGGTAAGATTGTATAAGAACATATGTTCAGGTCACAGTTTGCATTGGATTTTTTTTTCTAAAAACACTTTTCTGTGCAATTCTCCATTTATTTCATCCTTGAAATGGCAAATAACGAGTGTCAACTCTGTCTCTGTTACTGTATTAAATATTTAGCAAGAACAAGGCACATGATACTCAAGTTCTGCTTAAGTTTCCATTTAGTAATTGCATCGTGCAACTTAGTTTAAGAGAAGTCTAAATCATTTTCTCAGAATGTTGAGAATTCTGGAAATCTAGGCCACTCATTTTCAAATTTGAAAATTATGTAACACCTTAAAAACAAAATCTTGTTATGGCTTCGGTATCTAAACACCAAAACTGAATTGCTTGGAAAAAATAGGCAGCAGAGTGACTCGAGTTCAACATTAATCCTTCTCTCTACTATAATCCCTGGATACCCACTATAAAAACTCCTCTGAAATGCACTGCTGTGATTACTATAATGCTATAAAAATGAACACAATTGTTCTTCACTAATTCCAGTGACTAATTGCATAGAAATTCACAAGTTTTGCCAATACATGTGGACTTCATTTTTCAACAGGCCTTTTAGAAAGTATTTTGTAGTAAAATAAATAGTTTAAGTATATGTTGTAAACCCTCAGTGGAAGCTTGAGAATTTCCATGGAGAAGAGAATCAGGGCATCATTTAACTGTTGATATTCTGTTACCAAAAGTCTACTTAGTAGATGGTTCTAGAAGAAAATCCAGGTTTAGTCTGATTCGAGTTCCAAGATCTGAGCCCAGGACATTCTAGAGGGATTCTAGGCTGATTTGAGAAGTGGAGGGTATCTGGAGAAAACCAGTCCAACCAAAAACTGGCATTGCAAACTATATAAATTATTTTTCTTTATGATTTCTAGGCTTCAGTCTTGTTTCAAAGGTTTCCCTTTTCTAGAGTTGGATATTTCCTGGGTTTTTTCTTCTAATTTTGTTGTTTATTTTGTACACTAGGTCATTTCTTAGTTTTATATTTTGAGTAAATAAAATGGG